GCACAAGCTACATTAAAGTGATTATTACGTTTTAAATATGGTTATTTTTCTTACAAAAACGCATCGATTCGCTACAGAAGGCCTTTGTTCACCCCCTGGAGCCGTGTGAGACACTTTTTTTTTATGGAAAGGTGCTTTTTATTTCACGTCTTTTGGACTGATGCATGCAACACCCGCTGAGTGGCATTAAACAGCTTGAAAGATCAAAGACAATTTTTAATATAACTCCAACTGGATTCGTCTGAAAGAAGAAAGTCATATACACCTAGGATGCATCGGGGGTGAGTAAAACGCAGCCTAATTTTCATTTTTGGGTGAACTAACCCGTTAAGACTGCTTTTGTGCTCCAGGGACACATATGTTCTTACGAAATTACAACAACAGTGGTTACATACACATATATTTAATTGTTTGATTTGACAATTTAGTCGTCCCTGGATATTGGTAGGAACACGTCCCCAGCATCCCTACTAAACTCTGCGCTCTTGAACTCCACGATTCTTCATCTCTCTCATGCATCATTTTTTTTTTTTTTAACTCACCGAGCACGTGCAGTTCTTGCAGCCGTAGGTCCACGTCTGCTCCTCTCTGTAGGTCACTCCCTTCACATGACACGTCCTCTCGCAGTAACAGGAGTCCAGACCCTTCATCTTGTCCTCGGCCAGAGACAGCTGCAGAGAGAGAGAGGGCGGATTCAACTCACTTTCTGACAGAAAACAGACGAGGAAGCGTGTGCAGTTGATTGATTATTCACGATCGTCCGTTTGCATTTTTCATTACGCCGCCGATACGACGGTGTTATTCCGACACGCTCGATCAGAAGAGTTCTTCCTCATCAGCGGCAGAGTTTTTGTGCGGTTGGCATCTGTGAGTTATTACAACACCAGAAACAAGCCTTTAAATTCACAGCACAGACACAAGCCAGATGTTCGCAGAAACTGGGCTCGGATTCATCTGTCAAGCAAACCGCGGAGAAACACGCTGCGTTTATTGCCAGCTCACAGCAGAGCAGGATTGAGACGTCGAAAATATCTTTTAATACCAGATTAAATTCCTGAATCTGAGGTTCCAAACGAGACATCATTTGAGTTTAGACAGGTTGGAACGAGATTCACGTCAACTGCTGTAATTGTAGTTTTTAATAATACATTACATTTTTCAGTATGAATTACCCATATACACAACATATGGAATATATCCAGACATATTAGTTGATATTCATACTGAATATTTGAAATGACTCATATATTAAAGGCACCATGTAAAAAAATTATTTTTTCGAAATAAACCAAAGACTATTGGAGTGTTTTACAAGAAAATTGAATGAATTAAATGAATGAATGAATAAACAAACAAAGAAACATTAACTGAAGTCATGTATATATAGTTCAGGAAGATGGTAAGTCAACACTTCTCATTTTAATTTACTTTAACTTGATGTACTGAAATAACTAAAACTAAAACTGAAATAAAAATTATATAGACTTATATATAAAAACACAAAAACAAATAAAAATGACAAAAACACACAATAAAATGAATAAAACTAACTAAAATGTAAATTTAAATAGAAAATAGAAAAATAAAACTAATTCTAAATATATTTTAAAACTATGATATATTTAGCATGAAAACATTTTTGTTACTCAAAATAAAACAAACTTTAATTAAAAAAAATATATATATATAAAATCTTCACATTTTATTGTTGGCTAGTTGCCAACATTTCTCATCTTCATTTAGTTTAACTTGATGTACTAAAATAAAACTAAATCTGAAATGAATATTAATAAAAGAAATATATATTGACATTTTAAAAACAACACTAAAATTACTGCAATTTTAACTAAAATGAAAATGAAAACGGAAAATATAAAAATAAAACAAAAAATACAATTTTGAATTTGTTTTATTTTTAAATTTCTATTTTAATTTTATTTCAGCTAATTGGCAACATTTCTCATTTTCATTTAGTTTAACTTGATGTAATAAAATAATGAAAAAATTATATAAAATGTAATAAAAACGGTATAGACATATATATATATATATATATATATAAACAAAAACTACTAAAAATGAAAGAAATAAAACGAAAACTGAAAATACTGAAAAAAATGATTCAAAATATGAATAAAAACTATATTAGTATCTCAATCATACTAAAATAACACCGTTTCAGTCTCATTTCATGTTTACTTGCCTTTTCTTTTGTAATATCTTTGAAATTTGCATTTCAAAACATTTTTTACAGTATGTTTAGTTTATTTAAAGGTACAGTACTCTGACCTCTCTATTGCCATCAGTGCTTGAAGCATAAATTGCAAGGTAATCGCGGAGTTATTTTTGATGACTGATGGAGATTCTTTATAAATTCTCCTTTTTGTGTTCCACAATAACAGCACACGGCTTTGGAGAGACACGACTCAATGAAGACAGAATTAGCATTTTATGCTTTAATGCTTTCAAAACCAATGACATTCCTCTGCTGTGTGACTGTGACGTCAGCAGATGAAATGAAGCCAATTGTTAAACTAGTGTTGCACAGATTCAAAGCATCACCTTGCTCGACGTTTTGGCCAAGATGTCCTGCAGCTCCATGATCTTCTGCACGAGTCCGTGGAAGTCGTTGCAGGTTGGACAGGCTAAGAAAGACACATAAACAAGATGCATTCAGCAAATGCAATTAACAAACCATTGCATATGTTTGATTTGGCAATCACAAATAAATTAATTAGCGGCACGTACTGCGGTTGAGGTCGGGGCATTGCGTGATGTATCCTTGAGGCATTACAAGGATCTGAACATCTTGCATCACTCCCTGGTTATTCAAAAACACAGTTAGATCAGAGCAGAAATATTAATTACATTTAAACACATGCATTCGTGGCTCTTTGCATGTCATTCAATGGGACTGAGAGAGTTTATTCAACAAGCGATCACCTTGAGCGGCTCTAATGAATTAACGGCATGTTGTTCTGACCCAAAAAATATATTACTAACGTAATTTCCATACTGTGCTCCAATAGTGGCTTTTAGATGTTCAGGGCTGCTTTTATTTGTCAGGCAGAATATGAAGAGAACGCTTAAAGCACTAGTAAGAGACTGAAAGGAAGGACGCGGATGAGCCTGACCTTTTCTCTGGATTAGTATCTGTTAAGCCATATTGCTTTTCTCTTAGCTTCGATTTGTGGCTTATATTTAAAGGTTTTATCTCTGTGTCGAATCAAACTCACACATTTTATTCAGAACTGACGCTGGATGCCATGTAGAGACGATCCTTTATTAAAATCAACATGATCTTATTAGTACTGGTAGGTATTCGTATGTAAATTGTGCTTCTAGTGCACGTTTAAATGCAGAATATTGAGTTTCTAAAATGTAAACACGCATAAAAGCTTGCGTGGTTTTGAAGTTGATGCATCAGAATTAATTCAAAGGATAATTTTTTCGAAGAAA